CATGATTGGAACCAAGAAAAAGAAAGAAAAAAAGAAAGAAAGAAAAAAAAAAAAGGCATAACAATACAGAGGAAATTTTCAGAAGTAGAAGAGGAGATCTCATACAAAGTAATATGGACAAGAACAAAGAGTAATTTCCAGAATAAGAAATAAACAAGAACAAAATAAAGGCAGGGGGAGTCTATCTTTGAAACATGAGAAAGAACACGAGAAATAATCGGAATGATACAGAGAAGAATATCTGTGAAACATCAGAAAGAGCACAAGGGAAATAACCGGAATGATACAGAGAAGTCTATCTTTGGTACATGAGAAAGAACAAGAAAGGCAAAACAATATGGATTAAACTCTGTATCAAAATCACTTGAAAAAAAATAAACCGCAGGCAAAAAGTTCCATTAGAAAAAACATTAGTTCAAAGAAGAAACAATGTTTTTGAATTCCAAAGAATGACATGGTTTAACAGTATAATATTGACAAGAAACATTGCATGTTTATACTGCAGTCCTCTCCGATTTCCCAATAAAGCATGGAATTGCTGTCAAAAGAGGAAAGTATCACTTCTGTTTTCTAAGAATATCCTGTTTAGCTCAAATGGTTATTTGACATCAATAATCATACAGGAACAATAACATCAAGTCATACATTTAGAACAGTAACTCTGCATTTTCATTTGCTTTCATTGCACAATCACCAAGATAAAGCCTCTACTACATCAGTTTTCAAAGTCTATCATGAAGCCAGCAACTTAAATCCTAAAGATGGCAAAAGATAGAATGTTATGGGCATATAGCATCATAAAAATTAAGCAGTTGTGTATGAGATTTTGTATTGTTTGTAGTGAGTATTCACAAGTTTTGACATTGACAGAATACCACCCATAAGCTGTAGTATATTAAAATATATAAATTTTTAGGTGGTAGCAATATTTGTCACTGATAATGGGTACCCCTTCAATATAGAGAGATTCTACTGTCTAAGACAATAAAAACTTTTTCTTTAAGATTTCACCTCATGCAAGGCAGTAAAGCCACTAAGACACAAGGGGTTATTGGGCATGGAAGAATTAGAAACAAACATTACTGATGAGTGGGAAGAGAAAAGAGCAATCAGGACAGTAGATAGCAATTGACATTGCATTTAAATTTTTGCAGAATAAGGTTGACTGGAAAGCATGGAGTTGAAAGGGAGTTACACAAGTGAGAAATGCAAGAAAAAAATGTTAGCATAGAATTTACAGTTACATCTAATCAGTCAACAGTAGAGATCTCGATGCCAGTCTAGTACTGTGCTTAAAATGAAAAGGTCTAGGTACTATAGTGAAGAGCTCATCCGAACAATTACCATGAAATTATTCATAGAAAAAACACAGAAAGGCAACCTTATGGCAATGGGTGACTGAGGCTAAGTTGCCAGATTGTGGCTGATAATATTATTGTTTCTTCTTTGGATTTTATCAAGGCATTTAAAGGTAAATAGCAGGAGCACTGAACCATATGAGGCAGCAATATTCCTATCATAGATGAATGGTAGACTTATAGATATGAAAGATAGATTCGGGAGAGAAAAATTGTCTCATATGACAGTAAACCAACTTTCTTAGCAGCAGATCTAACATTTGATGAAATTTAACTTGCCATTTAGATGCAATGATTTATTCAATACTATTTGCTAATGGGGAAGGGGACAAAAAACTGGAACTGAACATATCCATGAATGACAGATGTACTTCATGTATGAAAAGAAGCACCTAATTTTACCTAAAAAGGCAATTCAGAGTTTACAGAAATGGCAGTGGAATAGGAACACACTACCCCCATAAATTAAATAAAAGGTTCTGATCAAAATTTCATGTAGGTTACCTGGATTAACACCCACCTAAAGTTCAGAGGGCACTATGACCAAAACAAAGATGAAGACAATGTAAATAATGATAACTCCTCATCCCCGAGATTCAGACAGAAATTAGGACATTACTTAGATGTTAATTAACATAAATAAGTGTGATGTGCAGTGAAAATGGAACATCTTCATGATTGCTTGGCCTGCATGAGCCCAAAGATGATTATCCATAAACTGAAAATACTGTTCAACAAGTGGTACCTGGCATCAATTTGCTAAACCAGCTAAAATACTACAGTTTCTAGATAATAACAAAAAGAGAGATGCTTTTATCCAGATGTTCCAGGTTGATCTGTAAACTTATTTAAACATGCTGCATGCATTTAGCATTTTTTTTAATCATTTCATCCCCAAGCAAGGTAATAAAGCTACTAAGATGCAAGGGGTTACCGAAAGTGAAAAAAAAAAAAAAAAAAAAAAAAAAAAAAAAAAGAAAGAAACACTATTAAAGAGAGAGAATAATAAAAGAATAGGAATTCAGAACACTGAAGATAATAGTTGAAACTGCATTTACATTTTTGAAGATCAAAGTTGACTGGGTAGCAAGAAGTCAGAAGAGAGTTCCATAAGCAAGAAATACAAGAGAAGAAACTGTTAGGATAGACCTTAGTTACATCTAGCAATTTCAACTGTAAAATGAAGGGATCTTCCTGCCAATCTAGTACTGTTCTTAGATTCATAAGGTCTAGGTACTATAGAGAAAAGTTCAACAGAACAATTACCATGAATGTATTTATAGAAAAGGTACAGGGAAGCTAGGTTACAGCAGTGGGAAAGTAACTGAAACTGAGATGCCAGGTCAGGACCAATGACATTGCAGATTCTTTGGATTTTATCAAGAGTCTCTAAATATATAGAAGCACCAGACCAGATGTGGCAGCAATATTCAAAGCATGGATAAATGATAGACTTATAAATATATTAGATATTTTCTGGCAAAAAAAATGTTAGTCCAAGAAGATACATTGAATCACTCTTGGAGGTTAGCATCAGCCATGCTGCGGAAGGCAAAAAGAGTTCTCTCAAATGATTAAAAACTGCTAAAAATACCATTACTGCAACACTTATCTAGTAAAAAAACTGGGAGACAGCCTTTTCAAGTTGCCTGTTTCAATTGCAGAGATGAGTTTTTGCAATGTTACACCAAACTCTGAGTAATCTAATAAAGTCAGAGCAGTGAAGGTGTTCATAACTGATGAAGCATTAATGATACGATATTATGCTGTCCATGGGCATGTGGCCGAATGGTTAGCATGTTTACTTTCAGACCTTGAGACCCAGGTTCAAATCTAACCATAGTTGATTTGTCAGAAAGGCGATGCCATGTTATTGGCCTGGGGAGGCAATTCCATGTATACATACATACAAGTTTGAATCCACTCCTAGAATTAGCATGGAATGCACTTGACAGAAAAGTGGAAAAAATATAAAAGACCTTAGAAAATTCAAAGTCCTTTCAGTTGTTAAATGGCAAGATTTAATAATTTTCATAAGAATCATACTTTATACAATGGTCATACAAGCACACAGAGAGCAGTTTTATACTAATAAGGCATATGGTCAACAAATTTTATCCCTTAAAGCTCTTCTTTGCTATAAGATAATTATTATACACTTTAAAGTAATTCCATTTTTGATAGGTACACAAATTTATGTACCATATCCTTTCAGGATGTAACCGATCATGGCTATCCACAACTTCCATGTCTGTTATAATTACTTTTTTTTTTGACCCTTTACCATTCCCTACCTTATATTCATGCAAATTTGTTTAGTAGTTTACTTGTTCTTTCTCTCTTATTTCTGTTGCCTTCAAAATGTCTTGTAAGTGTTAAATTATCCAGAACCTCTTTCCACATTGTATGTTTTAGAAATTTCAGCTGTCTCTTTCTGATTGTAAATATCAGTTTCCTTACTTTCTTTAAAACTTCCTCATTGTTCAGACGTTCTGTCCATGGTATTCTCAGCATTTGTCGATAGAACCACATCGCTGTCACTTCAAGTTTCATCTGCAAGTAGATTGTCCAGCATTCACTGCCGTGTAGGAGATTATATATTGCATAGCAGTTTAACACTTTTCTTTGTTTCTAACAACATCTTCTGATCTCTTAATACTTTGCCGAGTTTTTGGAAGGCATCTTTCACTATTCCTATGTATCTTCGGGTTTCTGTGTCACACTCCTCATTATCTGTTACTACACTACCCAGATAGTTAAATTTCTGTACCTGCTAAGTTTCAGTGCCACCAATAGAGAGCTTACACTTTGGAGTACTCCCCCCAACAACAACCATGCATTATCTCATAGTTAGTCTTTTGTTCTTGCTTTCCCTTACTAGTTTATCTACGAGTTCTTTCAGTTTTCTAAGTCTTCCATAAACATAGTGTTATTTATGTATCTTATTAAGGTTATATTCACCAATAATAAATCCTGGTAAGTCTTCTAGTCAATCTTGAAATATCTTGCTCTATCGGTTAAATAAATCCAGTGAGAAAACAGATCCTTCTCTTATTAATATTTTTGTTTATTACCAACCACATTCTCTATTCACATGAAGGCTTTTTGTTCCCAGTAGAAGTTATAGATTACTCAAATACTGTTCCTGTATAAATAAAGATCTTCTAGTAGTCCAAATTGATCTTTGTGTTACTGCTGCTATTACTATTTTAAATAATTTAGTACCAATTTTTACAGTCTCTATCATGAAAAATATATTAAAAACATCTCGGAAGATATTTCTCAGTTTGCAAGCAATAGAAAATTGTAACAATAAATAAATAAAAAATTTAACTTTCCCATGATAAATATTGAATTGAAATAATAAAGATGCTTGACATGGGTTAACCCATGTACCATAAAAAAAAAAAAAAAAAAAAAGTGTCGAAAGAACAATTTTTTTTTCTTGATACCTCTATCATTTTTGGCTTGATTCCCTAATCAATGTTTGTTTTAAAAAGCTATGTTTAGGATTTTAATAATAAAAATATATACACTAGTTGTTACATTGTTTATTTAGAAGGTTATAAAAATGTGAACCAGATACAATGCCATTATTTACCATTTTATTAAGAAATATGAAAACTGTTTATAAAAATGTCTGAACTATAAAACAAGAAAAAATTTAAACTTTTTTCTGGATATTGAACATTTTTTTTCTCAAATTAATTTATCTCTGATTACTTCTTGCTTTAATTTTTCAATTTTTTTTTATATAAAATCACAATCCAGTAAAAATTACAGAAATTCTCTATTTATACACAAGGAAAACTTTATCCACCTAATAGAAATACAAACTCAAAATATTGAGTGTTTGTGGTCTCACCTAAAATTAAAAGAATGTTTGTTTCAGAGGAAAAGATGGTCTCAATCTATTTTAGTGAATTTATATTGCAAATGCCTGGGAAATACTTTTCAAAATTTATTACAATTAATCACCATTATGTGTTTATTTAAATTTTCTTTTTTTGACATTTTTATAAAAAAAAATTTTTTCATATTTATTTCTTTATAAAAATGGTAAAGAGAATTTATTATAGCTGGTTCACATTTTCATAATTTTGCAAATTTTTATTAATTTATAAATAATAATAAAAAAAAAAATTGTTTACATTAATTTTGGTACTTATTTTATAATCTTGTAAATATAAAATTATTCTCAAATAAATAATTTAATAGATTGTGTTTAACATTTTTGTTGCCAATTCTCAATAACAAAGAAAATGTATAAGTCACTTTCATATGTTTGTGTTGCATTAAAATTCTAAAAACAGCTTTTTAAAGTAAAAATTGCCAAGGGAGTATACAGTAATAGAGATATCAAGAGTAAAACTGTCTTTTTTGACACAACATTTGTTTTTGCAGATATGAAGGTTAAACTTTGCTGATGCTTGTATCAGATACATTTTAAATTTAGGTATTCATCCTGAGATTCATCTACGTAAGAGGTAGCTTTCATTAATATTTTAAACCTACTTTTTCAGCAAATTAAGTTTAGCAATTTTCAGCAAATCAAATTCACACCAATTTCATGAAGTTTGTTATATATATATTTTTTTTTTTTAATGATATTTTGTTTCTAAATCTGCTCCTATAACTGAAGTATGATAGTATGGATTAAACTAAAAATAATTTTATATATTACAACAACAACAACAAAAAAAAAAAAAAAAAAAAAAAAAAAAAAAAAAAAAAAAAAAAAAAAAAAGGAGGGATACTAACTAAAGCTTTCTTTTTTGACAGGCACTGGTCTAAAGTCATACATTTATTGCCGCACCATTGACAATTATTTATTGACAGGCAGGTCTTGCAATCGTCACTCAAGTGGCACATGGTAGTGGTATCTGCAAGAGAACAGATTAGTTCTTAATGTATTTGATAAACATAAAATACAAAAGTAATATATTTTCCATTGTTTGATGATTCTTCAAAAGATTATCTTTAAATTTTGTAATAATCATTATTTATAAATAGTAGCAAAACAGTAAGCAGTTTTTTTGTTTAGTTTAAACAGCACAGAACATTTGTTTTGTAATGGCAAAATACAAAGTTTTCCCCTTTTTGTCATTCCTAACAAGATTTTTAGACCCGAGCACAGGTTCTTGTCTGCATTCTCATAAATCCCAAGGCTTGTATCTAGCTTGTGTTTTGAATATCTTGAGAAATCAGTTGTATAAGTGTGATGCAATATAACAACCAATCAAAGGAGATTTTACTGTACATGTGTAAACAGACACTCTCTAAGGTTATTGTCAGAAGTGAGACAAGCTCGTATACTGTATGACCACCACATTCCCAATTATCAAACCAGCAAATATTTTTTACATCTTATGCTAGGTTTTGACACGGTATTAAGGAGAACGTGACAAGACAGCTGATGACAATCCCAAAAGAGGGCATTGCAGACTGTTTTGAAAAGTAGAAGAGATGCTGGGATAAGTGTGTGAGGTATCAAGTGAAGAAATTTTTTATTTATTTATTAAACCACTGATGAATAAAACTGATGTCATAAGCTGTTTAGAATGTATATTCCTTCCAAAATGCTTTGTTTTTTTTTCCTATAAAGTTTCCTATAATATTTTTCAATTCAGAAAAAAAAAAAAAATTTGCTTGTGTGTGTGTGCGTATATATATATATATATATATATATATACACACACAAAAAATCAACTATAAAAAAGGCACATAAATTATTTTTTTTTTTTTAAACTTTATATAAAAATAATGAAAAAAAAAAAAAAAAAATTGACAGACATTTGTTGATACCTCCTGAAGAGTGGACCAAACAATTGCACAAAAGTTCATCTATGAAACTCTGGAGTAGAAGTGCTGAATATAATATCAATCAAGGACAAATTTTATTGATCCTCTCTCTCTCTCTATATATATATATATATATATATATATATATATATATATATATATATAAAACACACACAAATCTTCAGTAAAAACAGAATTAGAAATAAGATACAAATGAGGCAGCAATACAAGCCTGCAATTTGAATTTTGAAATTTCTCACACAACAAAGTAATCAGTAAAAAGAGTGGAATTGCTTTCTAGTTTGAAAAACAGATCCAAATAAAATATTCAATAACATTTATTTATTTCTGCAATTGCTTAAGTTCATGTTGTGTTTAGTTAATACTGAGCACCCAAGCCACAAAAGTATAACCAAAATAATTGCTATTTTTTTTTCTTTTAATGTGAGCTGCTTTAGAAAAAAAAATTTAAATCAGATTGGAACAATTTTGCAAGCAAAAATGATTTACAAGTTACATAAATGAAACTATTTAATGGGAAAACAAGTTAATGAAATCAAAGGCAACTAAATGAATGTAAAAAAGATACTTAGGAAGTTTAGGTACAGGGTTAAGTTTTTACTGATAAAATTGAAAACATGAACATCTAAGTTTTTATACTCACTGCTGCCATGAAGACATATGGAATTATTTTTTGTATCAAGTGTATGACTTTGAACAAAGCAAGTACCATTTTCCCAAATGCAAGGTGGCCCTGTACGAGCAGTTAAGCAATTTGTTTCTTCAGTAAAGGCAGAACAATTGCCTAAAAAGAAAAACTCATTTTAGAAAGAAAAAAAAAAATAGTAATTACAACAATCATATTACAAACAATATTATTACTTTCATTAAGTTTTGTCAGCCCAGATTCAAATTTAACAAACAACTGATTTGGACACAAGATATCTTAAATCTTTCAAGTTTTAAAGAACATCTGTAGTTAAAGCCCAAAATATTTGTACACTTTCATAACTTCATATTATTTGAGTTCTTAAAATTAAGAAATCTATACAACTGAATGCTTAGTTTGATTATCATAATGTCTTTTTTGAATTTCAGCTTTATCAGCAGAAGACTTAACACTTCAGATTGATTGAATAAAAGAGGAATAGAGACCTTACACTTATTTAATGCCATATTACAGAGCCATCAGTAATTGCGGGAGTCAAAGATTTTAGAGGCTATACTGTGCCTCAATCTCTCAGCAAACAGGGACTTTGCTCCTTCAAGGACTCTCTTACATTTATTGTGAGCAGCAACGAATAGGTGCCTGTTGTGATGAGAGCCATCACAATGATAAAGCTGAAAATAGCGGTTCATGTGTGCTATAGTGGCTGAGTATGCCGGTCTGAACTATGGTGAGGATTGAAGTTTCACCTGTTATTTCTGAGAAGGTAAGAAAGTGTCTATGCTGGCTTTGACCCAAGAAATAAACCTCAATGGCACAATTTTCAATTGGGAGTTTGAAGAGGTGTCAGAGAAATCATGGAGTGTGTCCCAATCAGCATGCTGGTGACAGAAAGAGGGCTTGTGAATAGAGAGTTTCTGTTAAATCGAGGATTCAAATGAAATATCAATACCTACCTACCACAGAGTGGTCAGAATTACTAAGAGGGCAGTGTTGCAAAGCTCAGCAGGAATGAGGAGAGCAGGTAAGAAATAAACCAAATAGATAAGCATGTTGCTCGGTTTTGCTAGAGTAATGTGTAGGAATGTCCATGATTTGAGTCAGGGATTGAGCAATGGAAAAAATTTAATACCTGAACACTGACAACATCAGTACATTTAGAATGCTTAAGCCACATGTCGGGGTGAGCATTAAAGTCCCTGAAGACAAAGATGTTCACAGATGGAAAGAAGTGCCTTTTCTATACTGTTAGCAATTATGTCTAATATACTGCAGTTCTGGGAAGAGGGGGGGGGGAAGCAATAAAGGAAATAAAAGAGATAGCTAACAGTTTAGTAACAAAATGTGATGCACATGAAAGAGTAGTCTGGGGCCTTGAGAGACAATTCCCTGGACATCAGGAGATTATCCCAGATGTTAACACCAAGGCCATGCATGTGAATGCTGGAATCTTTTCAGCAAAGGGGAAGATAACCTGGAACCAAGAATTCATTGGTTGCAATGGAAGAATTTAAGTTAGTTTCACAGAGGACAAAGATACCTGGTGACTGTTTACTGGTTTAGTTGTATTTTCCATGAGATTCGGAGAGGGAGGGAGGGAGAGAGAAAAGACAGCCATAATTGTCTATCTGTTGTCAATGCTAATACAAACTAGCCAGTGTATAGCTGAGAACAGAGCATAGTGTGGCCTCAAGGTTGCCTACCAGAAATACATGCAGGGACACCTACCCATGTGCAACATAGCATTACAGATACCCCAATATTATGTGACTGTTGATCAGAACTGTTTCTCAAAACTATACCAAAGTGTTCGGGCTCCTGACGACCATCTGGAAGCAGCAAACTGCAAATTACCAACAGAGCACCCTCACAATGAAAAGCCACAGCCATTGGTTAGTTTGGTCACTAAAAGAGTTAAGACAGTTAAATCATTGTGGTCCTGGAAGAAGAAAAAATACTGGTAAACCATATCCTGAACAGGAAACAAGAGATGAACCTCTACTCCTGTTAAAGAGATATGGAAAGAATCTGGGACAGACGATAGGTGAGCTTATCTACTCTTATTATTATTAGTAAAGATAATTCAAACCAATATAAAGGGTAATTTTATTTTGAAAATAATTCAGTACATATATCATAGAATTAATGAAATACCATTAATACAGAAGACATAAATGAAAGTTTAAATGTTTACTTGATAATTTGCAATTATTAGGAATAATTCATAAATTCAATATTAACACAAAATATTTAACTACAAACATTTTTTATTTTTCCTTCATTGATTGCTTTGATCCAATCACAAAAACAAAAGTTGTTTGAAATGTCCATTTATAATCTATCTAATCTACAAGAGGAACAGGTTCCCCGCCGTTTGGGACACTTTAGAAAGATTAAATAGATAACCTCATTTGTCTAAATCAAAGGGAAGTAAATCCGAAGACATGGCTTCAGTGGAATTCGCTGATAAAACAAGCCATAAAATGTATGTCACTGTTAGACAGCAAGTCCACGTGTTAATAATACATTTCTTGTGTTGTGGAAAGTTAATGACAAACAAATGTTACATGTACAAGAAAAAAAATGTAGCTAAAGTATAAGCTTCTATTAAGAAAGAAAACATTTTAGAATTTTCTCCTCATGGATGGAATATATTTATAAAAGCTTTAAGAAAAAAAAAAAAAACACTGAAGAATATTATTCTATGGTTACTTAATGTTAACTGTCCAAAGTAAATTTAGTTCTTAGATTTTTAGCTAAAGTGTAAGTAACAATTTTCATACACATACACCAGTCATCTCATAAAAACATGCCATCCAGAAGGCAGTCTATGCAATTGTATAAAGTAACCAGATAATCTTGGGCAAATTGAAACACACATATATATATATATATATATATATATATATATATATATATATATCTATCTCTATATTGCAATTTTTTTTTTAATTCCAGGAGATTAATTACAAATTATGTATGAATAAACCATTATTTCACAACAGCTGATGCAAATAGACAAAAAAGAATTTGAAGAATTATGACAGTCTTAAGCCTATGGATGTATCAAGTAGAGCATTTATTAAAAAAAAAAAAAATTCTTCGAATAAATTTCTAACAAACAATAACATCACAAATGTTATGATACAAACTGACTTTAATTTTATTTAAAATTTTTTTTTTTAATCATTGCACCCCAAGTAAGGCAATAAAACCACTAAGATAGAAGTGGGTTACTGATTGTTAGAGAATATGAAAAAAAAAACAGCAAGAGGAGAGAGAACTATAAAAAACAGGTTAAGAATACAGAAGATAATGATTGACATTGATCTAAATATTTAAATGCAAAGTTGACTAGAAAGCAAAAAGCTGGAAGAGAGTTCCACAGGCAAGAAGAAACTGTTAGCATAGAACTTACAAATACATCTAGCCATTTCAACTTTACAAATTCATAAAGTCTAGGTATCATAGAGGAAGGTTCATCATAAAAATATTTATAGGAAAGGCACAGGGAAGCTAGGTTATGGCAGTGGGAATGTGACTGAATTTACTATAATTAATCTTTCAATATAGCTTTATTTGAAGTAAATAAAAGAAAAAAAAAAGAAATAAACTAAAGAAAAATCAGTGTTAATGATAAATGTGCAAGGTATTAGTGAATTCTAAAACCTTGAAAGATATTTTTTAGTACAATGTCACCATATTGTGACATGTATCAAATAATAGATTTTAATGGATATATCCAAACATTCATATTAAAATTATTCTCATGGGATTTTCTAAGCACTGAAAAATCAGTATAATTTTTTTTTTTTTTGTTTTAAATATTCATTTTTTAAAGTCAAAATTTTAGCAAAGGATGTGTGAAGCAAGTGGGGGGGGGAGAAAAAGGAAAAAAGTAACTTACCTGGAGTATATTTTATAACATCATTTAACATTTGACCTTGAAACCCAAGGAAAATGTACATTGATCTGTAGAAAAGAAAAATTTATTTAACAAAATTTTGCCAAGCAGGAAAAAAAAAAAAAAAAAAAAAAAAAAATTCAATTTTCATAGTATTATTTAAAATCGGAGCAACAAATAAACACTTATCCATACCCATTATGTTCAACTGCAGTATGCCCAAAACGAGAAATGTCTTTTTGAAGATGTGGTGGCTTCAGATTATACCAATGGTTACATTCTGTAAATAAAATATGAAGTATAAAGACGACAAAAACAAATGTAGACTTTCATGCCTAAAGAAATATCACATTTTTTAATTTTGAGTCCAAATAACTGGATTTGCAATCAAACCATTCTAATATAAAACCTAAAATAAAAGTTTTTACAGTTATAGAATTTCTAAGCAGAAAACTTACTGATGTCATAAGCCATGAAATCTGGTGAGTAACATTTGGCCCACATGTTTGCAGAGGTTTCATTGTGTGTATTGCCTCCAAAAGTAAACATAAATCCATTGATTAACACAGCTGAATGTAAAAATCTTGGTGAACCACTGCGATGTAAAATACTCCTGTTTAAATCAAATAAATAAAACATAATATAGTATATAACATGAAATAAAATTTACAAAAAAAAAAAAAAATACAAAACTTATCCAAAATGAAGTATGTCCATTTTCAACAGAATGTAGAAGTTCAAGAAAATATATTTCAAAAACATCAATTACTCACTTTCGTTTCTTAGACATTGAATTGTGTCACTTCATGTCCCCCATAGTTTGACTTTTCAACTAACCTGATGAATATTTATTTATGCATTTCCTAAACTTAAAAATTTTGAAAAACTAAAAAAGATTTTTGCTCTCATATATAAATACATGTTACAACATAAAATCCTTGCATTTGTCTTGATAAAGTTGCTCAGAAGATGAAATGTGTCAGCTAAGATAAGTTTTGTTTTTGTCTTATTGTCCTTTTAAAGATATACTATCTGAAATTTGTGTGTGTGTGTGCAAAAATTAAATTCAGACCACCATAAATACGTGAAAAAAAAAAAAAAAAAAAAAAAAAAAAAAGAAGAGAGAGAGAAACAAACAGAATATGATCCTTATAATATTTCAAATTTTACTGACAAAATTAAAATACAATTTAAAAAAAAAAAAAAAGAAAAAAAGCTTAGTCAGGATATAGGCTTATTAGAAACTCACTTGGTGTGTGTTTGGGTCCTACACTGTTTGATCTTCATCAGTTCCCAAGTAGGCATTTATGCAGATGATACCATTTACTCCAGTCACAATAGCAAATCTGTCAGAGCTGACAAAGTTAACCTGACCACTTTTCTTGAAAAGAAACTCAATGGTTAACTGGGGCAGGAAATTTCAATGTCCCCAAACAAACTGCTCTCATTTAACCACCATAGAGAAACTTCCCTGCCCACCATCAGCATGGCCGATGCTTGACTCCAGGAGAGTGTCTCAGTGTGCCTTCTTGGCCTCACATTTTCAACTGACTTGAAGTGGAACATTTACATTGAATCTACTGCAAGGAGAGTTGGTTCACCGTGTCATGCCACCTGCTGTTCATCTCAAGGTTCTTGACAAAATCCAAAGAAAGATCTGCAATGTAATCGATCCTGACTTGGCATCTCAACTTCAGTCACTTTCTCACAGATGTGATGTGACTTCCTTTTGTCTTTTCAACAAATATTTTCATGGCAACTGCTCTGACAAGCTTTCCATAGTGCCCCCGACTGCAAGAATTTAAGCATTACTGGTGAAATAGTTAAATGTAACTGCCACTTCTACTCCAACAGTTTCTTTTCTTGCACTTCCCAACAGTGGAATTCCCTTCTGCTTACTTGCTTCCCTGATAACTACAATCTTCAAAAGTTTAAATGCAATGTCAATTGCCATCTTCTGTTGTCTTGAACCCTGTTTATCTTTTATCTTTTCCTCAGTCCCCCCTCGACCCAATCTTTTCTTTCACTGCAACCCCCTATGTACTAGTGGCACTCCTGCCTTGCTTGGGGGTGAAATGATTTATATATATATGCAGTATTATTTTATATATGTAAACTCAGATAATTTAATATATATTAAAGAACTGAATTTCTAGCAATAAAGTGATTCATATTTGACTAGAGTAATAATTACTGAAACAAACTTCAATACTTGTCATGGTTGATTAAGTTTCATTGCTTTATCAATCATCCCTCATCAGGACTTTATTAAAAATCATGATGCATGAAGATTGAGAAAACTATGAATCTTGCCTGACACTGATAAGCATTGACCTTTATTATGACAGATTCAATAAATTATTTTGAATATATATATATTATATAAAAAGATGAACAAGCCAACAATCTTTAGATATAAACACACCTTCTCGATCCAGGGCAGCACTACCTCCTCAAGGTACTTGATGTAGGCCTCCGTGTTCAGTCCGAGGGCCTCATCAACAAATTTGAGAGTACTTTTATCAGAACTATCAGAGTGAGTTTTCCAAGCTGCCATACCTTCATAATCACCATTAGACTCATCCAACTCTCTCCAAATCCTTTGTGCTGTCCTCAGATTGACACCAAAACACTCTGAAATGTTTGTATTGGAGCTTCTGGCATGAATGCCAAGCAGTACAGCATGCCATTCCCCAATTTCTGGAGGAGTGTATTTGCATCATGGGGCACTTTTTCTCATAGCCAGTGCCCAAGTGACCCTACTATACTGTGCAGTCAGTCAGTTAAGTGCCACATGTCATGGGAGATGATGTATCTTTGAATATATGACTGACGAAGCAGAAAATTTTTCTTGCAGTAGATTGCCATTTTTTCTGCAGTAGTCTGGTTGCCAACCAAGGCTAAAGAACCCAGTCTGTCCTACTATTCAACCCATAGCTGGGAGAAGAGATGGATTTATGTCTTTCCCAAGTGCGTTTGTGCATAAGTAAATATAATTAACTCAACTAGGATTCAAACTCGGCTGTCCTCATTCTGAGCCCATATCTATTACACCACAACACCCATGCTACATCACAATGCTCATCCACATAATGTACAGACAAAATCAAGAACAAATAATGTGCATGCACAAAATTAAGAATATTAAATAGTGACAATTTACCTATTGCACCTATATAAAGAGAGTGGAGGAGGAGGAGGAGGAGAAAAAAAGAAGCCAGACCAACAATAAAAGAAAATTAACATTTACCAATAGCGGCGATTTGGGC